CGTGTGGTCTCCTGGCTGCACTTGGTACGAAGCCAGTGCTCCAGAATGAGTCACAGTGTCTCTCCGTGACAGCAAGAGCTGTTCTTTCCCTTATGTTGCCTGAGGTTTGTCTGGTTTGGGTCATCCCCAAAGGGTGTTGACTGTGGACTCGGGCTTCCAGAGGGACCTGGTTGTTTCCCGGGGTCTGCTCCCACGGAACCCCAGCATACTGGCGGGGTTTAGAATCTGTGATGGGGAGACCTTGATGAACAGCCCTACACGGGGGCTGCACTTTGGGTATGTGCTGTCGGAGGAAGGCAGGGGTCATGGCAGATTAGACCAGAATCAGGTGTGTACTCAGGACAGGCCTTCTGGGCTGGGATTCAGGGAGTTGACAGGCACGAAGGAAGCGGACGGCGTGAGATCCTTACCCGCGGCTTGGCTGGCTGGGTTTTATGCCATTATATTGGGTTCTTTACCGGCTCCCATGACCACCTCTCTGGCTGCATTACTCAGAGCCAAAAATGACAGTGCCTTAGTCTGCTCAGGCCAAGACAAAATACTAAACAAAATACCATAAGCAGGGTGGTTTGTAAACAATAGAAATTTATTTTTCACAGTTCTGGAGGGTGAGAAGTGCAAGATCACGACATTGGTAGATTCAGTGTCTCATGAGGGCCTGTTTCTTGGTTCACAGATGACCGTCTTTTCCATGTCCTAACACGGTGGAAGGGGTACATGAGCTTATAAGGTCACTCATCTCATTCATGAGGGTTCCACCCTCATTACCTCATCACTTCCCAAAGGCCCTACCTCCAAATACCCTCACACTGGGGATCAGTTTCAACGTAAGAATTTTGAGAGGACACAGATGTTCAGACCATAGCAGCTAGGGACAGTTCTTGGCTCAGCAGTACTTGCTTACCCCTGCCTAACTCTATCGGGTTTCTTACAAGTCATGCAGCCTCTTTCTGGATACCTCTTTGCCCTTCCAGGCTTGGCTCCTGGGCTGCCCAGGCTCATGTTCCTGGTATCCCCCCACACCAGCCTGGGTCCATTGTGCCCCTCCGCATTCTCTGTCTAGATCCCCAGTGCCTGGAAAACCAATGTAGGACTGGTTTGCTGCAGGGTGGGTGAGTGAGCTGACCTGTGGCTTCAGCAGCTCCAATAAGACCCTGTACAGAGCAGACAGGGGGTTGCAAGAGGTCTTGGTGACTCCTTAAGAAAGCCGTCTAGGGGGCTGGAATAGAAAAGTCAGCAGGTTAATGCCAACAGGATTTTCCTTTTAAATGTCACCTGTCGCAGTGGCTCAAGTCCTGGGGGATCTGATAATTAAAGGTGGCCTTGTGCTTCCTTAAATAGAAAGCTTGACACACAAATGACTTTAAGAGTCAAATCCACGTTGACTTTATGCATCTCTGTCTGCAGCCTGAGACTCTTGGCTGTGCTTTGCTTTGTGTGCCTCCTGCCCCCTAGTGGGTGTAATGCTCACAGAGCTGGACATGGGCTGGAAACAGCTTTTTTGGGTCATCTTGAGAAAAATGGAAAGGGTGGCTGGAAATATTAGAAGTTCACAAGCCAAAGTCCAATAGATATGAAAAGGACAAAATGTAAGGTAGTGTCTTCCAAGAAATTAGCTGAAGGGCCACTTTTCCTTTTCGCCCTTCATCCACCCCAGCTGGAGACCCATGTCAGCCTATAAGCAAGCATTTCAGAAGTCATTTAATCTGTTCTTTAAAGATAAACCATGCTTCTGCTTTGTGTATCTCTCATTTTTAAGTGCTAAGGCCCCAATAGATGGTGGGTGGCCTCCCAAGGAGTGGTGTCCCCAAGGCCTCCACAGGGTGTAACTCAGGGCATCCGTTCACACTGCAGACTTTGGGAATAGCACTTTTTGGAGTTGTGCAGTGCAAGACCTGTGGGACTGTACAAGATGGCCCTGTACTCCTGAGGTCATGAGGACTCCATAGGGCCCCGGGAGGGTCAGCTGATATGTGCCTTCTCTGTGGCCACTGAAGGGAAGGGCCCTTTTGGTTTTCTTGGGCTTGGGGGCAACCTCTGCAGATTGGCAGGTGTTTCGGGTCACATGCCAGGATTTCCACCTTGGAGCTGATGTTCCTTTTCCCAGATCCCTTCACAGTTGCATAGGCTGGAAATGCCCCTCATTGAACAGTTAAAAACAGACACCAGCAAGAGACAAAGTCTGTGGCGAAGCTTTCCCCCATCACGTCCCTGTGCCACTCAGAAGTTCAGAATACAGAGCAGGCTTTCCGACTGTGATGGATGATGCAGAACATAATTCTTTCTCCAGGACACACACTTGCATGGTTGGCTTTGAAACAGTGTCGAGTAACTGGGAACTCTCTGGACTTAGCATTTCCCCCAGTGGTGCTTGTGTTGACCCCTCCTAGAGCCTCACAGGCCTGGCATGCTCAGCCAGCTGAAAGCTGCATGATGAAAGGGCTAGAGAATGTCTCCTCCCTTGTCTGCCTTCTGGGTACTCTAGGATGCTTGTTTCTTTAGAGCAAGGGAGCTTCATCTCACCCTCTTCTTCCAAAGTATTACTTTAGGGTCTACTAAAGGAAAATTCTGTGCTCAGAAAGGCCCAGGGCTGTCTTTGAAGAAATGGCAGTGGCTTGGACTACACGATCCCTCCAGGCACAGTGGGGCACTGGGGTTCCCACGTAACGTGCCCAAGACTATCTGTGCAGCCTCTCACGTTTCCTGGGGTGACATCAGGCAGCCACACTTGGAGCCGTGGCTGAGGCCGATGTACTAGGAGGTGGCAGGAGCCCTGGTGTGCTCTGTTAGACCACATGCAGTGCCACAGACAGAGACAAAGGATCAGTTTTCTGCTCTGTGCTGGGGTTGATGAGGACTCTGGAAAGTACAAGTAGCCTGTGGCAGAGCTGCCAAGCCTGCAGTTGAGCAGCCTTCCTTGGGGCACAGGGCCCGGGGTCCCTGCTGCTCCCCAGCTAGGGAGCTTGGGCCGCATAGGCCCCTCCAGCCGTGGCTGTTTTGGCCTTGAAGTAGCCTTTATGGGAAGATGATAGCTTTTCATCCTCTGAGAGAGGAGGGCTGGCATTCTGGGAGGGAGAAACTGGCTTTTCTGATGTCTGCTGAAAGAGCTCAGACAGCGGAAGCGGGAAATGTGACTTGGAAATGAGAGGTACGAACTGTTTCTGAACCGGCGGCAGGCAGTTGCTGGAGAGGACACGACGCAGGGCCAGCCCTTCTCCTGGTCCACAGTGGATAGGAGCCTGGGATGGCAGGTGAGGAGCTGCTCAGGACAGCCTCGCTGACGGTGGTGGGTATGAACCGCGTCCCTTCCACACAGTGGGAAGCAGCGCCTTCTTAGGTCTCATTGCCCAAGGACGCAGTAAGAATCAGAAAACAGTCTGAAACAGTCAGAATGGAGGTTCTGAGCAGACAGTGAGATTGCCTCCCTGGGCAAGGAGGCCCCTGACTGCAGCTCTATGATGTTGGAAGAGATGTTGGGAGTGTAACTGAGGGTACAAAGGTTTTGGAGATTGGAGAGTGGAGAAAGCCATAATGGGAGGCTGAGGAGCTGTGCCTGGTGAATGTCTACTAAGCAGGTTGGGTCATTCTGCTGGTGTGGGACCCCGCAGAGGCTGTGCTAAGCCAGACTGAAACACCCATTCAGTGCCCAGTGGTGCCCATGCAGGAAGGTGCTGGCTGTTTGCTATCTTCTGTAAACTGACATGAGCAGGGTCCGGGGCTGAGCATATCTCTGTGGTCCGTTGATCTTCAGCATCTGACTGCTCCGGAGTGCGGGGTGCAGTTTGCCACTCCTACCCCTCAGCCGCCCTCCTCCTTCCTTATCCCACCACACCCGACCCACATCACTGCACATAGCTTATGCCTGATGCTAGGCTGTAGATGGAGAAACTCCTTGATTACCTAGGAGAGGTAACCAAGGCGACATGCTCAGTGACCTTCTTCCTCAAGGCGGGAAGCTGAGTTGTGTGGAGGTCTCTTCCAAGAGCTGGAGGGTGTGTGTGAGAGAGAGAGATGGAGTCTCGCCCTGTCGCTCGGGCTGGAGTGCAGCGGTACCATCTTGACTGATTGCATCCTCCGCCTCCCAGGTTCAAGCTTTTCTCCTGCCTCAGCCTCCTGAGGAGCTGGGACTACAGGCACCCACCACCACACCCAGCTAGTTTTTGTATTTTTAGTAGAGACGGGGTTTCACCACGTTGGCCAGGCTGGTCTCGAACTCCTGACCTCAAGTGATCTGCCCGCCCTGGCCTCCCAAAGTGCTGGGATTCCAGGCATGAGCCCCATCACACCTGGCTTCACTGGAGGTTTTGTATATACATGAGAAGTGGGGCGATAGGGGCAGGATGTGGTAGTAGGGTGAAGCGGGGGATAGTGACATGCTGGGCACTTCTTCAGTTTTCACTGCCAATATTGCCATGTGCTCGGAGCTTTCCGAGTGTTTTATTGTAGAAAGCCTGTGCTTCTGCTTGCAGCCTAGAGGCCAAGACAGAATGAGGGCCTGTGTGCAGATGGCAAGAACCTTGCTTCTTACAGGGGACTCTTTCTGTACAGGAGCCTCAAATTACAGCTTCTACAAGTCTATTGAAAATGCATTCTGACAGCTCCTTAAAGGTAAACCTTTCATTGGATCCTTTTGTAATAAAACAGTCACCCCCAACATGTTGTCTTTGATGAACCTGAAGGTTTGAGTTTTCATAAAGGTTATACCAGTAAATCCTTAAGTTTACCGCTGTTTCCCCAAGTATCAAGCATGAGATATTTTTAGTGCATTTTGTTTCCTTGTGAAATATCTGGTTTTGGAAGCAAAGGGAAAGGATTCTCTTAGCCCTTTGGTCTTGGTTTAGAAGTCATGTGAGCAAGCATGTCACCTCATGCCAGTTTAGCTCAGTTCCCTCCTATTTTTCTTCTCTTTTATTCTGTGGTTTTTAAAAATTATCTGAAGCACTGAAGCCTTTGTTAAAAGATATTTTTAAGAAGGTAAAAGCATAATTGGGATACAAATATAAAATGTTCTCGTGTCAAATATTTTCTATTAAATAAGGAGGGATCTAATGAGATGTTACAATTCTTGAATTCAAAAAAATACAAACTCATAGAAAACCAAGAATGCTGAAATGAATTACCAACAGATACAAAATGGACTATTACAGGGCAGTCAGTAATCCAATGCATCTGGGACACAGTTCATCTTCATTTCTCTGGGGAAAAAACCCCATTTGTATTACTGTCAGTTTTCTACAACTTACAGGGTTGTAAAATAGCTTCGAGACAAAGTCAGAGATAGCCTGGAAGGGTGCCCTAGACAGGATACCCTGTAATTTTTAATGCCCATATAAAAGTCTTTCATAATTTTTCATGGTACCTTTAAAAATCCTTATTATAAGTAAACTATCCTAGGGCTGATTGTGGCTGTTGACTGGAGGAGGTGGTAGAACACTGGCAGCTTTCTTCTGTGGCCTTCTCTTTTAACTGTGAACTAAAGACGTGGTGGTACCTCCCTAAAATTGTTCTACGGGGTCGACTAGTGACCATGAGCCCTCTGGGCTCCTCTCGGACGCTCACCAGAGAATAGAGAAGAATCCTTTAGCCTAACCTCTACTGTCTCTCTGGTTTATTTTATAACACTGGGAGTGGTAGGAAGACCGGGAAAGAAATCGCAAGCTGCTTATGTGGCCTGAACTGCGGTTTGTTTCCCTCCTTTCTTCAAGGCAGGCCTTGTTCTGGTGTTTTTCTTTAGGTAAGCAAGGAGAGAACTAACATTGCCCATGTCTGTGGGACTGGGCCTGTGAGCTGCTTTTTTTTTTTTTTTTTTTTTGGCCATTGAGGGCCCTTGAGTATTGGTTTTGTAACACATTTTTTTCAACAGACTTAACAGTGTGCCCACCAGAATTTCCCACCAGAACTCTGACTCGTCTTCTGCTCACAAATGTTTGTGTACCTCAAAATCTGATGTGAATGACTGGGTTTTAATTGCTTAAATGTAAAGTTTGCCCCTTCTGGATCCTGAGTTCTTCTGTGCACAGCCAACTAGTTCAGAATATTTGGGAAAGGACCAAACAACGGAAGTCATGGCTGCTTTGCTGGCTTGAGTGCCGTCGTGCCTGGTTTGCTAGTTCTTGGTTTTGGTGGTCTCCTCATTAGGTTCCCCGTCTCAGGTTCCCACTGCTGCTGTCTGGCCATTTGCCTGCCCATCAGGCCCCTGCCCCAAGGTGTGAATGGGAGGAGCTCTAGGTGGCTACTTAGATCCAGGAACCTGAAAAGAAAGTGGATATCTGTTGAATTTGTTTTTCCATTTTCTCAGTCATTGCCACAGCCAATTTAGCTATTTAATCTTGCCTCACAAGATCTTTTCAAAATAGATCAATAGGAAAAGAAAACCACTATTGGGAAGCTGGTTTATTCTTAGTCTGACCACTGATTTGCTCAAATATATATCTAGATATAGATATCGATATTTATATGTATATATATATTTTGAGATAGAGTCTTGCTCTGTCGCCCAGGATGGAGTGCAGTGGCGCGATCTCGGCTCACTGCAACCTTCATCTCCTGGGTTCAAGTGATTCTCCTGCCTCAGCCTTTCAAGTAGCTGGGACTACAGGCACGCGCCACCATGCCCAGCTAATTTTTGTATTTTTAGTAGAGACGGGGTTTCACCATGTTGGCCAGGCGGTGATCCACCCGCCTCAGCCTGCCAAAGGGCTATGATTACAGGCGTGAGCCACCGCGCACTGCCCAGAGTATTTTTATTTTTGAGACAGTCTCTGTCGCCCAGGTGCAGTGGCATGATAGCTCACTGCACCCTCCGCCTCCGGGTTCAAGTGATTCTTCTGCCTTAGCCTCCTGAGTAGCAGGGACTACAGGAGCACACCACCAGGCCTAGCTGATTTTTGTATTTTTAGTAGCGATGGGTTTCACCATGTTGACTAGGATGGTCCTGATCTCCTGACCTCGTGATCCACCCACCTTGGCCTCCCAAAGTGCTGGGATTACACGTGTGAGTCACCACACCCAGCCAAAGAACATTTTTTGAAAAATGATGTAATATTCCAAGCAGGGGCTGTTCTGGGCTGGACTGGGCTGAACTCTGCTGTTGTTTGAAGGTCATGGAGGCGGAGCAGACCAAGACCAGGAGCGAGCTGGTGCATAAGGAGACAGCAGCCAGGTACAACGCTGCCATGGGCCGCATGCGACAACTGGAGAAGAAACTCAAAAGAGCCATCAACAAGTCCAAGTAAGTCTGGACACGGCCTTCCCTGGGCCGTGCGGCTATCCTAGTCTGCATCTGCTCAGCCTTTTGTATGTCACGCACTCAAGGACCACCCTGAGTAGTCCTTTGATGTAGACCCTGGGGCCTCACTAGAGCCCCTGCTCAGGCTCTCTTGCCCCCTAATATTCTATGACCCCCCGAGGCAGAGGATGCTAAGGGGTGGGCTGCTCTAGATATGATTGAGTTAGGAAACACAGAAAAAGGAATTTCAAAGGCACATTATTAAGTGGCCCACTGGCTGGGATTTGGTAAATTCACGCTGTACCCTTGGGTCTGTGGTTGATAGTGTGGACAAGGCCCTATCCCTCAATTTATCTGTCAGTGTAATAGGGATGAGCTGTGTTCACAATGCATGTTTCCTGTGATCAAGAGCTGATAAAATGCTGTAAGACTGGCTTTAGTATTTTTTTTCCCCCCAATCTCTTCTCACTACAGCCCTGTATGTTTTTATACAACATTGATAATGGTGGGCAGGCACAACTGTGTACCCTCTCTTGGGGACAAGCCCCCGCTTCATTCCCAGTTCCTGGGCCTCCTAGCAAAAGGAGGACGACTTATGATGACCTAGACTTAACAGCCAAAGGTAGACCCAGAGCGGGCTGTGCAGGGCTACTGAAGGCCTGTCTTCCAGGCATGGTCACAGCCCCAGCCAGGAGGGGCCGGGCAGTTGGAAGCTTGGCAGATGCCCAGTTCTCATGCAAGTTAGGGAATGGTGACAATTCAGTGAGGAAGAGAGGGGGGCAAGGAAGAGTCTGGTCCTCCTAGGCTCTGTACTACTCCCCGGTACCTTCTCCCAGGCTTGACTTTTCTTTGGTTTCTGCTCACACTCTTCCAACATACATATGTACACATATGTGCAGAGGAATAGCATTTAACCATTTATTATTGCACTTAATTGACTAGTGTATTTTTGTTTTGGTTTGGTTTTTGGTGTGTCAGGGGCTGATCTCTTGAGAGCTAAGTAGCAGACGTGTATACGGCATTGTTCTGCAGGGGAGGCACGAGGTGGTAAGGGTTGCTGTAGGACCTGTGCCTGCTCTGGGCAAGCCCAGGCATCATCCATATGGCAACACCCAAGAAGGCTGAGGAGCAGCCTTTGATGCTGCTTCCTTTGTTGTGAATATGGTGGGTCTTTTCTCAAAAGACCACTAACTCCCACTGCACACACATCACATATCATCCATTAACCTGTTTAAGAAAATAAATCTTGTGATTGTACTTTGCCAGCCTTCCCAGACTCCAAGAAGAGTATAGGGACAGATCAGTCTTGGGCGGCTCCTGTCTGCCCAAAGGATAAAATATACATCTGTGCATTCCATGGAGTGGCTTCCAGGCCACCTCCATGCCCACCCTGCGTTTCCAGCCACACTCCCTTGCATGGATGCTCGTGTTGCTTTTGCTGGGACATCTTCCCTGTGCCCTCCGATGCCCATTCACACACATACTCCTCACCTTGTGCTCCTGTCTGCTCCTTTTGGTCACGAGAGAACTTATACACCCCACTCTCTCCCCAAGTTTCAGGATTTTCATACCTACCAATGGCAGTCCTGTGTCCTTGTCATCCATCTGGATCCTCAGGATGCAGCACTTGAGAGCTTCATGGAGGCTGAACAGCTCAAGAATAAAGCAATGATCTACTCTTAATGTTCAGGCACCAAAGTTCCTAAAAGAGCCAAGCTCTTTTGGCTGACCCAGAAGCAAGGGAACTGCTAGGATACTGGCATTTCTTGTGCCCATTATGTGGCTGAGTTGGCCAACTAACAACTCCAGTCTTTGGACAGGTTCAGGAGGACCAACCTGAGACCCCTCCTAGTGGTGGCCTTGCTGTGCTGTGAGGGAGGTGTGGTGCTTCTCTCTCTTCCCCAGTTGACTTCAGTAGAGGAGAAGGTTTAAGCAGCCCTTCTCCAGCCTCATCTGCTTTTCATCCCTGGGGAATCAACTTCGTTAGGAGAGTAGATCCAGGCCACCCTTACTGCTGGGTATAACCCGTGTGGCCCTGAACAGCCTTCCCACACAGGAGGAATATGAGCTAGGTTGCAGAGTCCCCAAGATATGTGTGTGTGGCTTCCCTGTGTCGTGAGATGGGCCTCCTGTCAGTATAGCACTGGGTGAGCCCAGTTGTTCTATCTGGTGTCTGTCAGTCAGTCTCCAAAGCTAGGAGCATCACTCACATGTCATGGCCTTGTTAGAATTTACTAAATATTGGAAGGATGACCTGGCCAGTGGTAGCTGATGCCTCTTTTTCATCTTGTGGAGTTGACTGTGGTTACTGTATTATATTACTCTGATGGTTTTCCTTCCTGTCTTCTGCAGGCCTTATTTTGAACTCAAGGCAAAGTACTACGTGCAGCTTGAGGTATGTGTAGCTTTGGGCTTTTGTCACTGATGGGATTTTTCTACACTCAAAGCTTCACTTTTCTGAGGCAGCAGAATATCAAATGGGCCACTTGCTGTAAGGGGAAAGTGGAGAGACACATGCTTTACTGAGTTTTCAGACCTCAAAATTGTCTTGGTTGGGTCTTCATTCGTCTCTGAACTTCTGTAACTGCTGTTCAGTCACTTTCTCTGTTGTACGAGGCCAGTGGTTCTCACAGCATGCTCTTAGGACTAGCAGCATCACCATCACCTGGAGACCTGATAGACCAGGTCCCACTCTAGACCGATTTAATCAGAAACTCAGAGGTTGGAGTCCAGTGAGCTGAGTCTTAACACTCAAGGGGATTTTGATGCAAGTTCAAGTTTGAGAACCACTGTACTGGGAACCAGATGTCTAGACTGTGGGACTTCGGTGTGTTTGCCCATTTTTGCTTCCCTGATGGGGGTTTATTCCACCAGTGAGAGTTGCTGGATATCAGAGCTTGTCACCTGGATGGTATCTGGGGATGGTAGTGGCTGATTTTGTCTGGTGAATGAATAGCAGTTATAATGGTAATCAGGTCTTCAGTCATGTCTTGGAACATTCCTTGAAGTAGAATGATGGGCAGAAAATGTACTTGAACCTGTCATTCAGAAAGCATCTTAAGGCTAACAGGGTAGTCTTCACTTAGTCTCCTGTTCTCTCGACCAGCAACTGAAAAAGACTGTGGACGACCTGCAGGCCAAATTGACCTTGGCAAAAGGCGAATACAAGATGGCCCTGAAGAACCTGGAGATGATCTCAGATGAGATCCACGAGCGGCGGCGCTCCAGTGCCATGGGGCCTCGGGGATGCGGTGTTGGGGCTGAGGGCAGCAGCACATCTGTGGAGGATCTGCCAGGGAGCAAACCTGAGCCTGATGCCATTTCTGGTAAGTCAGGGGCTCCACTGGGTACATGGGGAGATACCAGACTGTGTGATTTGTTTCCCAGGGTCCTCACTTTCTCTGGCCATCACTGAAAGGTCTCAGAGTTGGGCAGGCCTGAGGGCTGTTTCTGGTGGCTTCCCATGTTTTATGGAACACTGTGTTCATCAAGATGGTACTAAGTGTTCCTCGAAGTCAGGATTCTGTGGTCAAATAAATTGGGAACGTTACACCTTCACTCCTCTTTGAAAGTCAAAGTACACATTAGAACATTCAAGGCTGAGAAGTCCTGCAGGAAAGAAGAGCTGTCTAAGATAGGGACCTTTGGAATCAGATTTGATTCAAATCTGCCTTTACATCATTACTAGTGCATAATGTGAGCAAGGGCCCAACTCTGTATTTCAGTTTCTTCACCTGTAAAATGGAGAGCATGATGGTATCTACTGTATACTATGCATTGTGTAGGGTGGTGGTTCAGATTACATGAATCAATCCCTGACACCCAAGAGGCACTCAGTAAATGGTGGCTCTCACTGGCATCTGATCATAGAGACCTCTTTTCCCAGGGCCACCCCCTGGAAAACTGATAGAAGTTCGACTTGGTTTCTGTCATGCTCATCAAGAAAACCCACCCAACACTGTCTTTGCACACTTCCTTTCTTTTCCTTACCTGTGGAATAATCCCTGTTGGCTCTTTCCCAAGCTCCTTCCTCAGGAGTTCTTTAATTCCTTCAACAAATATTTAAGTGCTAGGTTCAAGGTAAAGGAAAAGGAAACTATCATTTGAACAACTATTATGTATGACTTACTTTAATATATACATCATCTCAAACCCTGCATGGAGAGGATCATGACGCTTACAGAGGTAAAGTAACTTGATCAAGGTCACACAGCAAGTCTTGGAGTTAGGGATTCAATTCAGGTCTGAGCCTATTTTCTGTCCCCAACATTACAGTACTTATCATTTGTAAGAAACCTTTATGGAATGCTACAAGGCTGTTTTTAAAGAGAAGAGGGGAAAGTTCTAATAAGGAGTGGGATTGTGGGCAGGCTGAGGGAAAACCGCTAAAGGCCAAAGAGGCTTTGAAACCATGGGAATAACATGTGTCTGCGCCTTGTTATTTTGGTCTACCAAATAATGTGGCTACGGAGCATTGTAAAGGATTTCTGTTCTTTTGCAGAAAATGGTGATGTGGGTAGACTTTGAGTGTGTTCTTTATGAGATCAGAAGTTACCTGGAAGATAACAAAGGTCCCAGCAGATACTCCATGCTGGCCTGTTTCTTCTAGCAGCTCTTGCTTCTATTGCCCTAAGAAAGAAGCCTGAGTCCAGCTGGCTTTGTTTGGGATATGTTACAGAGGACCAGAACCTCTTCCTGTGCACATGAGGATCTGTTTAGGGGACGGAGGTGGAGTAAAGGTCCTAATTTGTGGCTGAATTAATTTTCCATTTTTAGGTAATGTCTGGTGACACTGATGTCTTGGCAGGGTTATAAGGTTATTGGAAGGGCGCTTAATATCCATGGGATCCAGCTGCCAGCTGCTTCCCTTCCAGCTGCTTTAGAGGCTGGCCATTCAGGCTTGGGAAGTCACATTCCTTCATTAGGCACTCAGAGGTAGAGATTCTGCAGTCCCCATACTGTGTGTAGCTGCCTGCCAGCAGCAAGCACTTGTGGTATTTGAGGAGGTGACAGAACCCATGTGACTGGTGTTCTCTCTCAACTTAGTGGCCTCGGAGGCCTTTGAAGATGACAGCTGTAGCAACTTTGTGTCTGAAGATGACTCGGAAACCCAGTCTGTGTCCAGCTTTAGTTCAGGACCAACAAGCCCGTCTGAGATGCCTGACCAGTTCCCTGCGGTTGTGAGGCCTGGCAGCCTGGATCTGCCCAGCCCTGTGTCCCTGTCAGAGTTTGGGATGATGTTCCCAGTGTTGGGCCCTCGAAGTGAATGCAGCGGGGCCTCCTCCCCTGAATGTGAAGTAGAACGAGGTGAGTAGCAGCCTTCTCACCCTGTCCCAGATGCCGCACTGCCTCTGTAGCCTGACTGTTGTGCCGTTCCATACCTCTGCCAGGTCTCAGGGACCCCATGCTGCATTACCAGGTCTCTGTGGTTGCGTTGTCAGTATTGATCACTGAGGTTGTTTCCAAGTGCTGTTCTGGGGAGCTCCTGGCTCCACTCAGCTTCTATAAAGTAGAGCTTAGGTCCTGTGTCTCACATCAGAACAGTCTCCTTGGCAAGCACATAGCAGAGAGGTTTGTTTCTCAGCTATAAAGTCCATGTGGCAAATTTCATCTCTATAGCTAAGGAATATATAAAACATCACAAGGAATAAAAGCAGTAAATGATTATGTACTGAGAACCTCTCTGATAGACACGGTAGGCAACAGTGGGAATTCTACAGGGCTGTTAGCTGATTGGTTTGAGCTCAAGTGACTTAGAATTGTTAATACTCACTTTTGATAATCTTTGTATTTCTACAGGAGACAGGGCAGAAGGGGCAGAGAATAAAACAAGTGACAAAGCCAACAACAACCGGGGCCTCAGCAATAGCAGTGGCGGTGGTGGCAGCAGTAAGAGCCAAAGCAACACCTCCCCTGAGGGCCAGGCCTTGGAGAACCGGATGAAGCAGCTCTCCCTCCAGTGCTCAAAGGGAAGAGATGGAATTATTGCTGACATAAAAATGGTGCAGATTGGCTGATTCATCCTGGGCCCTGGCCCATGTGCATATCAACATTTATACATGGAACTGGAGAACATTGTGCCAATAATCATTTAATATATGCCAAATCTTACACGTCTACTCTAAACTGCTCTAATGAAGTTTCAGTGACCTTGAGGGCTAAAGATTGTTCTTCTGGGTAAGAGCTCTTGGGCTGGTTTTTCAGAGCAGAGTTGTTGCTGCGGGTAGACTGTGACCAGGTTCACAGCCTTTGTGGAACATTCCGTGTAATGGCATTGTGGAAGCAATAACTAGTTCCTATGAAAGAACCAGAGCTGGGAAGATGGCTGGGAAGCCAGGCCAAAGTGGGGGCAACAGCTTGCTTCTCTTTCTCTTCTCACCCTTCAATTTGTATGGGGAAATGGAGATGTCCTCTCCACTTTATTCCATGATATCTAAATGAAAAAGAAAACCCACACACAAAGCAAAAACTCAAGCATTAAGAGCACATATTTTTGACCCAGTGGAGGCTTAAAAAAAAAAAAATCTAAGAACACAATTCATGTTCACTGCCTCTGGTGTTCAGAGGGGGGCTTTTAAAAAAGTGTGTATTCTGGGATACCCATTGAAACCATTTTCTAGAAAGGCTACCATGAGCTGCACTTTTTGGGGTGGGAAAGGTGAATGCCGGGGGGGATGAGGGTAGGAGGGACTTACAGAAGGGGATTTGTGGCTGTGGGGGAGAAGGTTCTACAGCATAAGCCTTATCCTGCCAGCCAAGGGGATTTATTCTAAGAGAAGTGCATGTGAAGAATGGTTGCCACTGTTATTAGATTGACAAGATGTTAATTTCTCTGTAGGTTGTAACGTTAAAAATAAATGAAATTATTTAAGGGTTATGCTGCACTAGTATTCCTTAGAGGAAACTGTTCTTTAAAGTTAGGAAAGGGAGTAGGCAGGCATGTGTTGGCAAAGGCTGTTAATAGTAGTAAGTGTTAAGACTGCTTTTCTTTAATGTTTTCATGGTAATGCATATTTAGAGCACTGTATTTTTGTCTTGTTAAGAAAATTTAGCATTTCTAAAAGAAAAAAGTAACCCTCTTTCAAACTGTTAATTCTGTCACAGCCTGTATATTTTAGTCATTTGTAAATCTCTTCATACAACAGTGACTTTTTTGACTGATACAGTATCTTAATTACAAGGTTATTTTGTACTTGTCTTAATACACTGAGTGTAATAAAAACAGCTTGAGAAAAGTTTCTACTTTCTGTGACTTCAAATAACTCCCAGTATTGCCCAAATCTTCTAGACAACCCTTCTGCCATAAGGAAGAGCATGGAGTGCTGTGCTCACCAGTCATCATTTTCAATTAAGGTCATGAATAGTAATAATTTAAGCCTTGATTACCAAGGTTTGAATTCTACTTTTGCTGCTACTAAAGCTGCGGGCAGTGAGGAAACACAGTGGCAGATAAGTAAAATAAAGACGAGGTGGTGACGCTGGAGGAGTGGGCCTCGGCTGCACACTGCATGCAGTCTCCTAGGAAGCTTAAGTGTTGCTGTCAGCTCTCATCCCCAGAGAATTATTTAATTAACTGGGGGGTACACTTGGACATTACTTTTAAAAGCTCCCCGAGGGAATTCAAATGTGCATTCAGAGTTGAGAATCAGATGGATCCTTTCTCTGTGGAAATGTTACAATGCTGGACTCTTAATCTGCGTTTATTAAAGCATGCTGTGGAGAAAAAGTTCTTGGTTGGCCAATCATAAGGTTTAAGTTTCAGAAATAACCCTTTGCAGTATCAAAAGGTGTTTTACCTAGAAGTTAGTATTTCATCTAGGAAAGTTCATAGAAGTCCCTTGTGCTATTTAAGAACATTAAACAGCCGGCCAGGCCCGAGGGTTTATGCCTGTAATCACAGCACTTTGGGAGGCTGAGGTTGGTGGATCCCTTGAGCCCAGGAGTTTGAGACCAGCCTGGGCAACATGGTGAAACCCAGTTTCTACCAAGAATACAAAAATTGGCCAGTCTTGTAATTTGGTCTCAAACAAGAACACTTAACAGCATACCTGAATTTGACTAGTGACCTTCAGGGTTCATTCAGTTCTCATAAAATCTCCTCACACCCTTTAACCTGTAGTAAAGACACTGAGACTTGCTTGACTTACCATTAGCAAAAACTTCCCTGCAATTGAGGCAATTCTTTTTCCGCCTAGAAAAAACACCATCTGGAAAATAGCCCAAACTAGGATAAAGTTTTTACAGCAGAGTCAAGTTATACAATCTAATTAGAAATTTCTAAGTACTTGCAGAGAAGGAAAGTGGGATGGAATTTTCTAACATTGGGGCTTTCTTTCCCTTGTCTTTACAAAAGACAAAGCCTAGGCAGTCAGTAGCACTAGAGTATTCCTTATTTGGGCATTAAAACTCTCTCTTGTTTCCTGCCTCAATCCCCTTTCCCATCAGCCTACCTGTCTCCTACACCAGAAAGGGATGCAGACCACCTTTTGACCAGGGCTCCCTTGTCACACTATCACCTAGTCAAATCTCTAGTTTTACGTAGTCTGCCCCCACTGCTGTCACTGTGGCCTCTTTATCTCCACCACATTTGACATTTAATTATACTCTTCTGGGAATTCTGTTCATTAGGCTTCTTAAATCCCCCTCCAACCCCCTTGTTTTCTTGTATCTCCTGTTAGTCTATGTATTTTTTTCTAAAAATTAGAAATACTTTCTAAAAAGCTTCCCCCAAATCAGTTCTTAACCATCTTTAGTTCACATGTGACTCCTGACTTTTTGGGTGATCTTGCTTACTACGCCACGTTGATTCCAGATCTGGATTTTCTGGGCAATTTAATGTGTCAAAACTTACCTTCAGTGAAGCTATGAGCATCTGTCCATGTGCTGAATTAGAAACCTGAGTCATC